GGACTAACTTCAAAAGGGAAACTAATGTTATAACACAAGAAAATAATTAGGGGGTAACGATTTTGGCACTCCTAGTTTAGCTTATAGAAATTCAATTTAATTCCTTTTAAAGACTCTCGATGGACGTTCTAGAAGCATAAACGGAGAGTGTCAACATCGCTACCCAAACATAATAAGCATATATAATGACGAATGTAAGGAAAACATACCGCAATCAAGGAAGCAACTGTTGCTTTATCAAAGATAGCCGGTGTCCTGGGAAATTATTACTACCAAGAAATTTAGGTGGTAATAAAGGGCGAGGTGATGAATGCCTTTTGATAATTTCTGATTCAAATTCAGCTTCCATGCTGGTTTTAGCCACGTTATTTTGACTTCTTGTAAGAAGATACTTTCTGAATAACCAAACACTTTGAGACATATTATTCTCTCCATCCATTGATCTTAAGTTGATGTCTCTTTGCTGGTCATCTGGGGTCCTTATAACTTTTTCAAAACCAGAACTATTTTATTTTCGTCTTCTCCATACAGTTCTTGGTCTGTTTTCATGAAGAAGTCCTTTGGTATAATTGGAGTGCCCTTGAGAAAGAAAAACAAAATTGCTGAACATCAAACCCATATAAAGGAAATGAAAATTTCATATATATATATATAGCCAAATCCCCATCATCCCATGACTAGCACAAAACTGAAATGGTATACAAGAAACCCCTCAAATATTACTCTGTGTCGAGGACAAAGATTGGTTGTTTGAAACAGAACAGGTTCAAGGTGACTTAACCTGCATGGTGTTCATTGACAGTTTTGCAGCATCCACAGGGACGTAAGTCCCTGCCAATATCTTTGTTAGTAGAGGAGTCAGGGGTACTGCCCCAAGAGTTGTGCATACCGTCATTACAATAGACAGAGGAACATCCCCTTGAGCAATTAAGGTCACCTGAAAGGCTATTTTATAAAAAGCATTGAATGGAGTTGAACAAATGGGCTAGGCGGGCGCTAGGCGGGCTAGGCGGTCTAGGCGGGCGCTGGAGAGAGAGAGAGAGAGAGACGAGGATGACGATGGCGCTATGAGGCGAGAGAGATAGAAACGAGGATGACGATGGAGTTATGTTTAGGGTTTAGAAAAGGGCCGCGCGGCTATACTATTTATAAAAAATAAAAAATAATAAAAAAGACCATAGTAAAGCCGTTCGGCTATACTGTTTTTATAAAAAAATCCCGAGTCTATTTGTTTAAAAAAAGGAACGCATAGCGCCCAATCAAGAGGGTATAGCCGCCCGGCTATACTAGTTTTTTATAATAATAAAAACCGAAGTATAGCCCTGCGGCTATATATAAAATCTAGTGCATTAAACATGAAAAATACATACGTACTTGTAAAATACGAGTATTAAACATGGAAATGCTAAATTTTTTATACGGCCAATAACTTTGGAAAAATAAAAACTCAAAAGGGTACAATAGAGACTCGTGTAAAGGCCTAATAGTAATGGAAAATGCTCTAAGCTATCGATAAACAAGCATATCATTATTGGAAATCAGTACTGTAGTATAAGCATATTATTCTTAGAAATCTATTTTCATGCGTGTGATTGTTTGTTCTTTTACGTAAGTTTGGCTTTTGCATATGAATTGTTGTGGAGGATCATGATGTCTTTTCTTTTGTAAATTGACAACATCATGATGTTGTAATGGGTAATTTATACGACTACAAAACAAAATTGTTGCTGTAATATCAGAGTGCTTGCTATTGTTGATCTTTAAGATCTATGCATGCATTGTGATTTGATATGTTGGAAATTTGGTGCTCATGTATTGATCAAATTACACTGGTATTAGGCTGCTGCAATTCAGTTGGAAATTAGGGGTGGGGATCGGAGAAATGCATATATGCAGATGGATGGGGAACCATGGAAGCAGCCAATGCACGAGGAGTATTCAACACTAGCTAGTTGAAAAAATGAGCCATCTTGCTGCGGTTGTTCCCTGTTGTCATTATTCTCTGGACAAGAAATATTGTTTTCTCCACCCTCATCAACAGCATTGCTCCCATCATTTGCAGGATCAAAGTCCACCATTAACTGTGGCTTTGATGAATCTAGCTGCACCATCTCTTCTCCATTAGGTAAGGCGGGCCCTGGTGGTGTTTCCGAGGAACAGGGTATACGTATACATTCAAGTCTTGAGTCAAGTCCCTTGTTTGTAGAAGCTTGAACCATTTCGACAAGCCCTTCCTCTTCAAGTATAATTCCAGAAGCAACCTTGAGACTCTGGAAATGATTCTTTATTATTGCCAATAAGGAGCCCAACAAAGTTTGTTGTTCATAACTGTCTGTGATGCTCGGGGGAAGAAAAAATTCTAGAATGTAATCATCATTTCCAGTATGAGTGCTCTGTAAGCAGATTGCAAAACAGCTGGTTAACTTAAACATGCGTGCATAGTGTACTAAAGGGTAGTCAGTTTTGCAGAACTGGGTAATGTCTCTGCAGAAGCATGCGTTACGGGACAAAAAAGCCCTCCCAGCAACCCCTTGACCCTTTTGTAAATGATGCTCAACACAGGCCTCTCGAAAATGCCACATAGGAGCATCGACAATGTAGAATGCCGCATCAGTTGTGGACATGCAGACCTGTTCCATGCAACTACCATCAAAGCTAGTACAGCTCTTCTTCAGGCCACCACCATAAGCCAAAACATTGCGATGCATACAAGGAACCCAGGTCTGAGCAAGCGGTAATTTGTGAGTTTCACATACCACTGTCAGTATCTCCAAGATTTCAGTCAATGCAGTTTGGCGACCTTCATTGCATATTTGAATCTGGTTACAAGAAGTGCCAAGCATATATCTGTGAGAATGGAGGAGGAGAAAATGATAGAAGAAATCCATATATACTTCCTTGCGTTCCAAAAGAATACCAAATTAGGCACACATTGTTATTGCAGCTCACCTGCATGCTTGTATGATCCAATATATCTGAACTTTTCAGACTTACTGCCTGCAGGAGAAATGAAAATTTTTCACTGACAAACCTCTTCATGTTTGAAGCTCACTCATATAACCGTATTAGTATTCAAATGAAAACAAAAGCCATCAATTTAAATTTTTTCCATAAACTTTTTATTTTTTAGATGGTTGACTTCAAATTCTAAGAATATTCAGACCAGATAGAATTAAACAAAGATTAATGAACAAGGAGAACTCATTTCAGAGGAACCAAGGTCTCCGAATTCAATTCCTGGCCCAGCAGGAATGTAAAAATGCAACCTTTTCAGTATAACAGGGTATAGTCTCTTTAGTTGCAGAGAATTGAGAAACGAGTAAAGGAAACACTTTTTGACCCTTAACTATTTTGTTGTTTAATTCTAAGAGTACAATTTTATTGCTCAATACCAAATAAATGTTTAAAGTCAGGAAAATAAATCTATTTATATAAAAAAATTAAAATTAAAAAGGACACGACCGCCTAGCCGCCTAGGCCGATTTTTCGAACACTGC